CATAGCAGTTGACTCAGATTCTGGAGGTGAGACTTGAATATGAGTATTTTTAAAGTCTTCCAAAGTGTTTGTTTCTATTGTTCAGTGAGGTAAAAAAAAATCATTGCATTAGACTTTAACCCCTATACTGGGAATATGTTTTTTCTATCTCTCTAATCTTTTATCCAGAGTGGCACTCAGTACCTAGCTCAATGTGTGTTAGTCTGAGAAAGAAATCCATGAATTGCTTAGAGCATGAACATCATCGTAAAGGTGGGGACTCTTCTCCTTGCCACAGGTTTTTCTTCTGCACTCAATGTATGCTGATGCTTATCTGCTGTAGCAGGGTTTTCAGATTACAGGCCTCTCCAGGCTACCGACCCCCTGACTTACATTTCTCATAACAGAACATACTCACTACTTTGAAAGTCCTCGCATTTATGAAAGCTATTACTAAATAACAGAGAGAAGTCAGGAGTATTGAATTACACTAAGGGAAAACAATTCAGCAAAAGGAAAGATCTGAAATTAAAAGTAAATCCAATGAGCAACTCAGCAAATTGTGTGATTTCGTTAATAAATAATTTGATGTTTAACACACTTTAGCATCAGTTAAGATGTGGTTAGGTTTTGCGTTTGATGGCATCAGCATTTCCACAATGCGACCTGTCATTGAGAAGCACAGAAAGTTAGCAATACCACATATATGAAGATCCAGATTATATTCATATCTTTTAATCAAAGAGTTCCACTTACCAAACTCTTTTTTTGCCAATGGGAAAATTGGTCTATACATAGAAGTGATCATGGTAGAGTTATGTTGGGCAAAGAAAATCTGAACGACTTTCAATAAGGGAGGATTAATCGAGTAAATAAACTTATATCCAAGGAAACAAATATTATACCAGCCCTTGAAGTGCCAACTAAGAAACTACATAGCCACATGAAGACTGGTCAGGGTAATTGACACAGTGAGGTCTATTATTTGCAAACAGTGACCACAGCATGTATACAAGTGCCTAGATGTTTGAAGTCAGCGTACTGAGTAATACGATGTTTAATTTTTTCCCTTTCTTTTTCCTTCTTATGTGATGTAATATTGCTTTACAACATTTAAAAGATTCTTTAGTAAGCCTTACCTCACTTTGTCCCGTAGCCTTCCCAACAGACTATGTAGTTCTGTGGCACGGAGCACCCACATGTCTTAGTAATGGTTTCTGGTAGACTCCTTGGTTCTCACATACTGGAGACAAACCTGTGAGTTCAGTGTGCATCTGTTCTGCCCCTAGCAACTTTGCTTATTGCCTTATCATATCATTCATTACACTGTTTTGTCCAGCATATTTAGTGAAGTGGTCAGTTTTTTTGGTATGCTAATGTGAGTGTTTATGTCATGGGTCCTACATGATGGTAATTAGGTTCCTATTAAATTACATATTATAATGTAATATACATTCCCAGAAAGACTTCAATGAAATGATGAGAAAAGAATGTTTAACTGTTAACAAATATACATCAAATAGAAGAAAAGCAACTCATCCAAAAAAGAAACTTTTTAATTTGCTTCTTTGATCAGACTCTGGGTTTTCTTGTGGGTCCAAAATATCTATTCTTCTTGCAGTATAGAGGATTAATATCTCGTTTCCATTTATCCAAAAATCTGTTGACTTGAGGGAGTTAGCAACCTTATATTTTTGCAAGTTGCAATTAAACATTAATTTCAACTAATAGCAATTGGGAGAATTTGCTACTATGAAATTAAAAAGCTTGGCAGAACTTTCTTTGCTTCTCGACAGTAAATCAGATTGTGGAAACACACTATCTAATGCAAAACCTATTTCATGAAGAAAGTTTTATTCCCAGTCACCCAAAGCAGAGACGACCTTTACCTATCAGAGGAAGACTACAGATCCAACTGCACCAGCCAGATAGTCCAGATCACGGGACCCACATGGCGAACAGCGCTTCGGGGCTGTCATCCCTGGTGACGGACTGACAGGATGTAAAAGTGAAGAACATCCACACAGTTTGTGTGTTGAAAGTATGTTTCTATGCTTCTATTTCTAGGCTTCAAATATGAAGTCTATCCAAATACTACTCCCTAGGGAATGATGTTTTAAAAGATTCTCTTGCAAAGCAGCACCGATTTTGTTTGCCAAATTAATCACAGGACCATGCCCACCATCCACACCTGGGACCAGGTTGGTCCTGCGCAGAAGAACTGAATATATTTAAAACTCACACACTCAGTCCCTCACTGCATTACCAGCACATCCTGTTGGTCACAAATACCTGCCCATGGGAGTCTGGAGGAATAGAAGATTCTTTCAAATCTTGAGAAATCAGTCATTTTTATCCCAGCATAACTTTCACCCGAATTTGCCAGTATTGCTTTCATAGATTTTCTGTTTGATTCCAGTCAATTCCACAGGTCATATCTGCAATTCTTTGGGAGACAGTCCCCTGTCACCAAGCTGCTTACAGTTCCCTTAAACTTATGAGATGTTCTGGGAAGGGCACAATCGCATGTTCTTATCCTTGGTGCCCTTTTGCTCATCTGAAAGAATTTCCGGGGAAAGACCGCGACAGACACAGAGTTTTAAAAACAGGCTTGGTGGCCACCCCAGTGACTCAGTCCTTGCCCGAAAGCTCAACTTAATTGACCTTTATGTTCAGAGGCATTCCTAGTTTTCTATTTTACCATTTGAAAATGAAAATCAGACCCTGGAAGTCACGGAACTACTTAAATTTCTGTATCACCCTATGTAACACTTTGAAAGGTCAGTAATACTTGTCCGAGTTCATCTCTTTTTTAGATTCTGGTCAGAATGCACCCACAGCAAATAGGAAATGCCAGGTGCATTCCTATTCACCTTAAAAACCACATGCTCATTGCTACGTTGTCTGTCTTCCAAGGTATTACAGGAAACTATTGACCATAGTAGATCAAAACTTTCAAGACCATCCAGCTGGTGGCCATCATCCTAGCCTCCAGTACGTTTTCTCAGTCTCCACTTCTGGCACTGGACCCAGTCTCATATAATTGAAAATCTTTTTGATGTTTTAATGTGCACACCAGTCAACTTTCAAAAAAGAGACACCGCAGAGTCCCGGATCGGCCCTCGAAGCCCAGGATAGTAAGTGGTACACACAGCTTCTGCTCCTCCGGCACTGGTCACATGGCCGAGCCTGGTGCAACAGTTTCGGAAGAACAGTTCAGCTGGAGGGAGGTGCCAATAGATGGTCTTTAAGATCCCAGCCACTTAAAAAAATCGCATGATCAGACTGCTGACTCAGCTGCTGGGGAACTAATGCTTCATTGACCCTTGAACCCCACAAAATTTTATCATTTTCTTGCCCCTAGTTCAATCCCAAGCAATTTTTAAAGCCTATATTGACTAACACAGATGTTTCTTTATCACCAGTCCAATAAATCCTTGCATTTTAAATTCATTCACAGGGATAATGGGCATGATAATGCCAAAAAACAGAACCGTTCTCCTGAGCCTTCCTCCCAGACTCCTCTTCTGACCTGCTGGTCTTCAGTCCAGCCCACTGTCCATGTGCAATTGCAAAGGACACGTGTGTCTTCATAAAGCAGCCACCTGGAGGAGGAGATCACTACCCAGAGTCAGTGCTCATAGGGCCAGGGAGCAAGGCATGGGCCTCACCAGGCAAATCATTCTGTTTTCCTGTAACGTTATTAGGGAAGAAAATCTAGTTTGTTTGACTGGAATAATTTTGGTTAGAAATGAACCCTGTAAACGTGAAACATGTTCTGTTATTTAATTGCCCCTTGAAAATGTAACTCAGTTTTTTTCGTGTGTGTGTATGTGTGTCTGTTTTTTTAATTTCCAACCATTTAGCATCATCATGAAAGGGGTTTTCTAACCAGGGCACTACTGGCGTGTTTCATTGGCTTGTTTGGCCCCGGGAGCAGGGGCAGGGGCTAGGACACCACCTGAAATGACGGCTAATGGTGTGGGGACTCACAACCACATAGACAGTCGGGACCGGGCCATGTTCAATAAAACCTCTTCCTATTTGTAACCGTAGCTGGAATCTCCTATCTGTGGTACCTGTGCTTGGAAGACATCACAATGAGACCTCTTAAATTTCCCATGAACCGTCAGTGGGTTGACCTTGCCTAACATCACAAGACAGCCCTGTTCTCTTAGACACCAGAGAGCACTGCAGAAAGTACATATCATGTATACAGTAATGTATAATCATGAGAAGTATGAAACACAATACTTCTCTGATATATAGGCTGACAGCTTCAACCCCAACCTTCAGCAATAGTGTGCCCATACATAAACACACACATACACATGCACACACACACACACCTGTGCTGAAGCATATTTGAATTGTGAAAATCAAAACTATAGAAGACCAACCTTAGTGTTTCCCTGAGCAGACAGGGCCAGTGTAGTCCTATAGAAACAGCCTAATTTAGCTGATTTTGTAAGACCAACTTCAATCTTGGCCGTGTCTTGCTTGTGCCTGTGGAAATTGCAGGCAGAACTTGAACCGTTTCCCTGGGTCAATATGAGGGAACCACGGGACATGCCCATGTTGTAACCAATCGCTGTGAAGAACAGATAGTCACCGTCTCCTCACTGTACCAGCTGCTTGAGAACAAGATGTCCCTGGGCAAGATGCCCCACCCATGCTTCAGTTTGTGTGCTCCCAGTTTGCAGACCGACATACTGGTGTGTGTACAATGAACTTGGACTAATTCCTAAGTCAGCAGTGCATCTGTTTTCCTTTGGCTATTTCTAACCTTTTGAGAGAAGCCCTAGAGCATGTGTACGAAATACACAGCACCACAAAGATGAGCACATTATCTAGGTAATATCTTCTTTCCTTATAGTTGCATTTTCAATAGATTTTCCTGTTTAAAATGCAGACATTTACCCCAATCAAAGCCCTACGTTCGTTACAATGAAGGAAATGCTTTATATATGCTAAAACAGTCTGTTTTGAAGCTATCTAGCATATGTCGACTTGGAAGGTACCTTATCTTCTTTTTGGTTGAGTCTCTCTTTTAGTTCTTCCACTTGAAATCTCAGTCTCTTTCCTTCCGCTGCATTCTGGTCCGCTCGGTGCTGTGCACGGGTCAGCTCTGCTATTTTCGCCTGGTGTTGTCTGCCGAGTTTGTGGTAGGCCTGGTGAAGGTCCAACAGCTCCTTTCAAAAGAAAACAGGGGTTCCATTGTTTGTAATTGACCCCAATCAAGTCAGAAGAATAGCACCTTCCTTTGAGAAAGGAGAAAAGCTTTGTAGAAAGAATTCGGGTGATGGATCTTTTCCTGTGGAATCCTGCATTTCTGCAATTAAACGGCATGATGGGCGTATAGCCATAAATGGACAGTGTACCTGTGGGTGGCTGAACAGGCTGAGACAATGCAACTAACTCCTCAGGTGCTTGAGTAAACAATCCATTTCCTGTGTTATGCAAATTTAGATTTTACATAAGCTTTCCAAAGGAAGAAATCATATATCAATAAGTACGAAATAAAACATAACAAAAATAAATGCAAGAAGCATTTATTTGTCAAATCAGCAAAGGTATTCAAAGTTAACAGACTATTTGCTTTTAATAATTTTTCTAAGAAAAAGGCCCTAACTGGGTGGCCCAGTGGGTTGGAGTGTTGTCCTGTACATCAAAAGGTTACAGGTTCACTTCCTGGTCAGGGCATATAGCTAGGTTGCTGGTTTGATCCCCAGTTGGGTCATACGTGGGAGGCAACTGATTTATATTTCTCACCTTGATGTTAAAAAAAAGATAATAATTTTTCTGAGAGTAAGGTTTCGTGCTGCCCCAGTGACGCTGCCCTGGGCATCCTCCTGACGCCACGTACGCATGGCCCAGAGGCCTGTGGCCGGAGGCCCGGCCTGAGAAGGAACAGTGACTTCAGCCTGCTGGGATTGGCTCTTCAGTCCACCCTGTTACAATGGACACCACACAAGATATGTGTTAGCAGGTTACATGAACTGGCCTCGGCTTACTAATGTCGCCTCTCATTTCTAGTTGATATTTTTGGTGCCAACTTACTGTCATTGTAGAAAACCTCTTTATTGAAACTATGAAAAAATAACCTCAATTCTCATAACATTACATGATACTTTAAGAAAATCCAAGGGCATTTCTTTCACTTCCTGAAAAATGCAAACCAGAACCTCAATGAGCTATCTCCTCTTATCTGGTCTTTATGGCAAAGACCAGAAATAACAAGTCTTGGCCAGGGGGTGGAGAAAGGGGAACCCTTGTGGGCTGTTGGTGGAGGTGTAAATTGGTGCAGCTTCCGTGGAAAACCGTGTGGACTCACAGATACAGAGAAGAGACTGCTGGTTGCCAGAGGGGAGGGGGGTAGGGAACTGGGTGGAAAAGGTGGAGGGACTGAAAAGTACAGATGGGTGGTCCTGAAATAGTCGTGGGGATGTCTGCAGCACAGGAGAATATAGTCGGTCGTATTGTAATAACTGAGTGTGGTGCCAGGTGGGTACCAGAAATGTCGGGGGACCACTTTGTCCACTGTATAGCATTCCAACCACTCTGATGTGCACCTGAAAGTAAGGAAACATCACACTGAATGGAAACTGTACTTGATTAAAAAATAAAATAAAAACAATTCCTTAATTCACCCCCCCCCATTTTTCTCTCTGGAGGGAGGCAGACTTCCCTGCTTCTCGGAGCTACGGCCCTGCGGCAGCACACTGCCGCAGTTTTTGTTCTTCCTGGGATCACCCCCTCCCTCCAGTTGCCTATTTGAACACATGTTACAGCAAAGGATTCGGGCAGCCGGAGCGCACATCAGCATGCCATGCGCGTGGGGGATGCTGCCCTCCGAGACCTCAGTCCTTCCTGTAACCTGCTCATAGAGGTCCTGCTGGAAGACATCCAAACAGGTGTTCCTTGAAAGAGTTAATAATCTGCCTCTGAAAAGGGAATTAGGTGAACAGTCCACATGGACTTGGAGAGCAAGCTTATTTGAATACATTTGAATGGTAGAAAAACAATGAGGTGAAATATTTATGCTTTATTTTAGCAAAGAAAAATCTCAATGAAAATTAAGCATGTAGAAACATATAGGACTTCAGATTACTAGTCAGTGTGTAACCCTCTGTAGGTGCAAAGATCTAAAGCAATACAGATAGACAGTGAACATAATTCACAAGCCTTTATAAGCATATATGAATATTAATAGTGTATCTCAATATAAAAATAATCACATACTATGTATGTATACAGATATTTTTGATGGAACAACATTAGTTTCTTCAATAGATTGACTGTCTAATGGTGTGAAGGATTGGAGGCAGGCTTTAAATTTTGTGTATGGCTTGTGAACACGCACGTTAGTTTGTGCTCTTGTAAGGAAGGATATTGCTTTCCACCTAGAATTAATTTTTTAGTTGATACATCAAGTAATGAGGCTTAAATGATTTTGATTCTGGCAAGCTGACAGAACCAAATCATTTTCTTGTAACTGAAAGGGACATAATGAAAGGCTGGTAGAAATGAATCAAGTAAGTTTAAATGCATATTTGAAGGGAAAAAAATGGCATTCAGGGAATTTTATAAAGTATCTGTGTTGTTTCTGTAAGTTCAGTTTTTTTCTAATTATAATTCAGGAAATAGTTCACATATGATTTCTTCTGAGATGCTTCCTTGATTACCCAGATGTAAACAATGATTCACAGTATCATTTTAAAATTATCTTTTATATAATCTGTTTATTTCTACCTCTTTATGCAACCATTTCAAGGTACTATTGCTTCATGTTTTCTTCCTTCCTTCCTTCCTTCTCTCTTTGTCCCCTTTCCCCTCTTCTCCCTCCCTCCTTCCCTTCCTTCTTCTTTCTAGTCAACAAAACTAGTAGACAACCAGCTAGGTACTTGATACTATTACAAGCACCAAAGATACACATATAAAGTCAACCTGTAAGCTTGTTTTCAGAGAAAAATAACACCAGAAAAATTAGGTCTCATCTTGGAAGGAATATGTTCTATGTATGCTCAAGAAGAGGTATTCAAAGCAGCTAAAAGCATGGTAATATTTCCAAGAGAAAGGGGCATCAAATCTGAAATTTGAGACTTCAGTAAAAATTACCATATGGGGAGGGAAGACTGAGAGAAAGTATCTCCAGGAATAAGTACAAGCACGTGCCAAGAGCAGAAGTGAGGAAGAGCCTGGTATACTGTGGGGATGACTACAGTGAATGTGTGTGTGCACTAATAAGGTCTGTGACTGGTTTGCTCAAGGGCAGTGAGGCATTGTGTGTGTGCACATGTGTGTGTAATGCTGCTCCCCGGGACTATACACTGATTTAGAAATATATTAATAATGCTGGGTGGCTAATAGAATACTTCTTAAGGTTACCTAGATAGGCTAAGCTAGATTGCAGTAAATGGGGCTCTAGTCTCACGATACACATTTCATCATTCCACCCCAGAAGACATCTTGATATCCATCAGAGTAAATTTTTTCTGTGATATTAATATAATAAATAATAGCATCTATCTCAAAGGGCTGTATTGCAGAGTAAACTATGTACACATGAATATATGTATGTATTAGTATACATGTATGTAACAAATCATGTATATTTGTTTTATACATAACAATATTATTATTACCACAAGAGTAAACCATCCTCACTATGCTCCCATTAATGCCTGCACACGTCCAAGAACTGGAAGATCTGCAGAGGGAACTTACATACTAAATCATGAATATGTACATTTGAGTTCTTTGTTGAGTAAATAGAGCTTCACTCTATGTGCTACTTGTTTACAATTTCCAAAGGGCGTGCACCATATCGGTAGGGGAACAGTGCAGACTTGCTGTCTCCACTCTTAAACAAAGCCTCCAGCTGAAGGGGCGTGATCAAGCACATTCTGATAACGCAGCAAGATGCTGATGGTCAGTGAGAACCGGACAGTCACGGCTCCTGCCCTCAGAGATGAAGTTCAGATGCAGGCAGCTGAACACGTCATCGAAGCCGAGCTTACTGGGCACAGGCACACGGGTGATGGCGGCGCACTTGAAGGCAACGCAAGACCAAGGTGACAGCTTTGAGAAGACAGAGGAAGTCACTCATCCTGCAACTTACCCAAGAACTTTGCATTGGGAAAAAAAAACCCTCACACAGAAATCTCTTTTGATTCTATGCCCAATTCAAGGTATAACCCATATCTCTATTCCCCTTCACAGTAACTTTCTAAAGGAATTTTCTGTAGTTGTTTTATCTGCTGCCCCATGAGCAATTACTTTTCAAACTCTCTTTATTACTTATGCAAGTGACTCCAGAAAAACTGTTGTTGCCAGGTTGCTAATAGCTTCTGGACAGCCAAAGACATTACTCACCTGCCCTATCTTGAACTTGGACTCAGCGACCTTCTCTGTTTAATGAGGATTGTACATATACAGTCGAATACTGAGGTCTAGACTTGTACACCCAGCTATCTACTCGGAATCTACATTTGATGTGTAATAGACCTTTAAATGTAACAAGATTTATCGTACTAATAATTCCAATGATATAGGAAACTTAACACTTTTTTTTATTTCACTGAAAACACACAGAAATGCCATTACAACCTAAGAAAGTAAGGAATAAAGCAAAGAAATAAGCCCTAACAATTGGAGGTTTTATTTTAATGTTTGAGTTAGTTCTGGAAATTTGGTATTAAGCCCAAGTAAAAAAAGCAATCTTAATCCTGCCCAGGACAGAGCATAAAGAAATTACTGTCATTAAAAAAAAACAAAAAAAAACCCAAAAAACTGAAGGAATTGGCACGTACTGATATAGAAGCACTGAAACAATCACCAGGTGAAACCTTTGGGATACAGAGAACAAACAAACTCGAAATGATTCCAGAGGCTGGGTGCACGGGCCCACAGAGAAATCAATCTCAAGGAAAAACTAGCTCAAAAATGATGTTTCAAACCATAAGACATAATGATAATGTGAAGACGAGTAAAATAACAAAATAGGAAAATCAGCATCTAAAGAATTTGAGCTATAGCCATCTGAAAATGCTATAAAAACAATCATAAGCCCTGGCTGGTGTAGCCCAGTGGATTGAGCACGGGCCTGCGAACCAGATGATCGCGGTTTGATTCCCAGTCAGGGCACATGCATGGGTTGCAGGCCAGTTCCCAGCAGGGGGTGCACCAGAAG